CTGAGCACATCTGTGTGGCCTGCTGCTGTTTGCTGAGTTTCGAGCCTCTGTTGCAGGAAAGGAGACGAGATCTACCACCAGCTGAGGAAGCTCGGAGCGTCTCTGGACTGGAGCAGAGCCTGCTTCACTATGGACCCAGTAAGAGTCACGTTCCTGCTCTGGTTCCTTACTCTGCAGTTTATGTATGAAGCCGTCCCAGGAAGATGATCTCAACCATCCTAACCAGCTGATTTATGAACCTGTACAAATACCTGCAGCAGCGCTACAAAGAGATGAATGTGAAACTGTGGTGCGATGTAAGCACATACACATATACAGGATGGGTGGAGGTGATGAGTCGTTCCCAGCGTCCCTGTTTCCAGTGAGGCAGATTTATTTGTAGCCGTCTGTGCCTCCTCACCACGGCACACACCGGCTAAACGAGGCACCGTCCTGTGGCCTCTCCATGAAAGTGAAACGCTGAAGCTGAGCTGTAAAGTTGGCTGCAGTGAAGCACCTTCAACTGTTTGTCCTGCTTCTGTGATGTGATTTCAGGGTTTCAGCAGAGCTGTAACTGCAGCGTTCGTCCGACTGTGCGACTCTGGTCTGATTTATCGCTCCGAGGCTTTGGTCAGCTGGAGCTGTGCCCTGGAGTCGGCCATCTCTGACATAGAGGTGAGACAGCTTCACATGAATGACAGCAAAGGCAGCAAGTGGACAGAATAATAGAGACAGTGATGTGTCTTCTCCCCGACCTAAAGTTTCTCGTGTCCAGACAGCTTTCAGATTGATTAACAACATGTATATAACTTGTATATAAGTGTCTTTTTTATATAAGAACGTGTACATGTTTGATTGTGCCTGGTGTTCCTCAGCACACGGACGTTAATGTCGTCATATCTAAAGGTTATGGAAGAACTCAGAGAGCGTCTGTGTGCTGAAAACAGAACCGGCTCTTTGCCTCCTCGTGAACAATGAAACCTTCACGTGTTTGCATGTCTCATGACCTAACGTGACCTGATGCAGGTGAAGCTCACATGAGCGCTCGCTGAACGCTTTTAGGCGAGCTACAGAGTGTCCCTCTGATATAACCTGAACTCATCATCAGGTGGACTGGAAGGAGCTCTCCGGCCGGACCATGCTGTCGGTTCCCGGCTATGAACACAAGCTGGAGTTTGGAGCGATGCTGAGCTTTGCGTACCCCGTAGAAGGCCACGGTGCGTATGCACGACCATCCTGGGACACGGTGCGTCCTCTAGTTTGTGCATTGATCCTCTTCTCTGTATTTTAGACACCGAGGTGGTGGTGTCCACCACCCGTCCAGAGACCATGCTGGGAGACGTGGCCATAGCTGTGCACCCCGATGATCCTCGATACCAGGCCAGTTTGTGTTAGATACTCTGGGAGCGTTTGACAATATTTCAGGACAAGCGACGAAAAACAGATCTCCTACACCGCTCAGTGTATTAGTGAGCTGAAAACACTCGAGGCCTGGGGTTGGACACCCTGCTCTACAGCCTCAGGAAGCCTGGAGGCCAAATGCATGAGCTGCAGGCTGCGTGAGCAGCGTGACGTTTAACCGAGCGTGTCTTTGCTTCCTCAGACTGTTCACGGGAAGCTCTGCAGACATCCTTTCACCGACAGACTGCTGCCCATCATCACTGACTCTACGGTGGACGTGGAGCTCGGAACTGGTGACCACCACACCTGACACCTGACGTGACACTTCCTGTGGATGTGTTCGGCCCTCTGACCCGTGGCATCCGCCCACTTCCTGTTTGTCTTTTGCAGGTGCAGTGAAGGTGACTCCTGCTCACGACCACGCAGACTTTGTCCTCTCACAGAGACACTCGCTCCCACGCCTGACTGTGATTGCTGGCGACGGGACGATGACGGCGT